TGAACACAGGTACATTTCCTCATCACAGTTTTTCTTGATTTTTTTCATTCACATACTGAGGCAAATGCATGTTCCAGAAAGTTTCACAAGCAATTTCTAAAACCTCCTGTCTTCAGCACATCTAACACAGATATTAGATGCTCATTTGTATTGATACAACAGCCTCAGTTTAAAATCTCACAAAAGATTTATTTGGTGAAAAGGGCTAATGTCAGAGCAGCGTGTTCCGTTCAGAAACCCATTCCCAGGACTTCCTATAGTGCTCTGGGTGGAACAAACCGAATAAGCATATGGACTTTTTTTATACTAATGGCACTGACATTAGGGTCAGCGTTAAACTGCACATCTGGAGAGGAAGACTATTGTGATCTAATTGTGGTTGACGAAAAAAAATATTAAAAAAATATAGGACTTGAGTGCAGCTTCCTTTACATAATGTGCATTGACAACGCAAACCAGCCTTCTTCTCTTTGCTTTTCCATCTGCAAAAGCAAAAACATCATAAAATTGATGTTGAAATTCATACATCATACCATTTCCCACAGATTTGCTAGTTAGTGCTGGCTTCTGTAGGAAGCGAAATGATTGTCTGGCCTCAGCACCATGGAGGGAGTCGTAGGACCTGCTTCAGACATCTCGTTTAAGGCACACCTACCTCACGGTAGATGACCATATTAACCTCTCCTCATGATTGCTTGCAAGCATACAAACAGATCTATGACTGGTTTGCCAGACTGTACTACTGCCTGGACTTCTCCATGAAAGCACCTCAGTAGTCTGTTCTTCTCTTTGCACATCAGGAATCAGAAATCTAGATGAATCTATTCTTTGCATTTCGATTTATTTATCCTTCAGCCACAAACTTGGGCAACGGTTCACTTGCCTCTTATATGCGACTCTACCAGTACATCGTAATGGTTACTTGCAATTCCCTCGAGCCACCAGTGAAAAACTGCCAGAGGTTCCCAGTTCTAATGCATGAAGATGTCGCAGCAGAAAATGTAGTTACAGGATTATTTGCCTATAAATAGCAGCTCTGTGGCAGGAAACATGCCATGAATTCAATACTATTAGCCTCAGTAGATTTAAGGTAGGACAGAGGTCTCTCCCCTTCTTTATCTGTCTTGCTTTTTCCTTATGTGGCCGCAATGAAATGTTCTGGCTGAAGGTTTTTCAGTCTTACCTTTGGTCTTTGGCCGACAGGAGTTAATTTCACGCTTTCTGACGTGGCACTTAGGGGTGAACACGGTTTGCCAGAGTCGCCTACAGACCTGTAGACATTGAAAACGACACTGAGAAAGTGAAAAACAGAAGTGACCACTAGAATCATGTCTCAGATTCTGAGTTAGGACCCCTCATCAACAGTCTTCAACAACCCATGTCATCTGTCTCATGTCACATTGCAGGTATTCTACATACAAACAATGGAAGTTGTTAAAAAGTTGTGGAAAAGCCATTGGACCTTTGTCCCATTTCCACAGAGCTGAGCATGATGAAGCCAGGGGAAGTCCGTGAAGCCAAAGAAAAAACATGGCAATTTTTTCATTGCGTTCAAATTCTGCTGCACAGGTAATCAAGATTCTATAAAAAGGAAATAGCAGAGGGTTAACTTTTACCTTCTTATACTGGTCATACTGGTGAGGGAAACGCTGTCTTCTTTGGAGCTGTCCATAGCAACTGCCATGGGAACAGACACTTCAATTGTCCTCCTTGCATTTTCTAGGCAATAAATAATAGCTTGATTCTGACGAGAACACAGCAATATTGCACAACATTCATTTCATTTTCCCATTTTTTGAGAAGCATCACATAACTCTTCACAATTGTACAGAATATACAGAGCAGATGTAAAACATCAGGCTGAAGGTTTATTCAAGCCCATACCCACTCTATAAAAGTGACAGATATCGAAAGCAGATACTCAGAGCACCATGGACAATGTGCATAGATACAGACTGATCCTTCCACGGATGAGCCCTCTGGCTTTTGGCAATCAGAGGCTTAGGGACTTCTGGTTTCCCTACTTTGTCCCTCTAAGATTTACTTTTCATGCTGAATTTATGTTACAACAGCCACAGAAGTGTCAAAAGTGTTATGACACACACGTTGTGTCTCCTCCCCCTCCTCCCTCTACCCTTCAAGTCCTTCCCTTTATCCATCCTCTGTGGTTTAGGAAGGGAGAAAGGGCGGGTGTCCCAGACCATGCACGTGCACATGCTCACGCGCAGTTCTGCCCATAACTGCAATAACTCCATGAAAAGATAAGGCAGCCCTCACCTGCTGTAGAGTATCTTTGTTTATAGTTACACACGCAGCTAATCTATCAATCTTGAACCAGTAAGAACATTCCCTTCGCTAATTTACCTCTTCAGACGACTGGAAGCTCCAGTTATTTCTTTCTATTAGCACTGGCAGTAGCACAGCAAAGTAGTCTAATGGAAAGAGCACCCAAAAGACCAAAAACTAAAATGTGGTTGAGAATCGGACAACCACTCTGCCGTGATTTTTAGAAGCCTGATGCAAACACAGCCTTGTTAGAAAAGATTCTCCAGCAGAGAGAACTGATGAAAAAGCCCAGTTCTGCCCATCTGTGACTATGTAGCAGAACTGTTCCACAGACAAGGACGTAGCAAAGAACAGATTTACCAGGAAGCATGACATTTGCAGCAGAGTAATTACTACGAAACTAACTTTAAGAGAAGTTTAGCTGATATATTTTTAGCACTCTGAAGAAGTGGGTGTTGGTACCACACACTCATTAACAGCAAGTGTCCTACTGACCACAACCGCTGATCCCATCAGATAAGGACAGAGAACTCCCAGAAGGGGAAAAACATTGTCTTACTGGTTTTGTTTCTCCTGAAGCTGGGTACTTACCAGCAGAACTTAGGGATGGGGGCAGAACAGGAGACATCACTGGAGGGACCGAATTGGCAGCAGCTGATTTCTGCTGGTCTATTAGCTGCAATAGTTTATCACGTGCTTCTGTACTCTGGCGATTCAGCTCTGCTATTCTTTCCTCCAAGCTCTTCGATATCACGAGATGAGTCTCCTCGGAAAACTGGATAATGACTTCCAATTAAAAACTTACAATTTGCACCTTCAGGGAAAGCATGCAATATATTTCAAGTACTTCTAGGCATCCAATTTTCAGACTGAAAGTAAACATAATTATATAGCACCTCTTGTGGGAAACCTGAATTTGTCTCTTTCACTGTCCGGTCCTTCATTGACTAAACACAATATTTTAAATTGGCCTTCCTACAAATAGGAAAAACCAGCTATTGTCTGTACCATTAAAAACAAAACAAAACAAAACAAAAACCCCAGCCATCCAGCAATTAACCATAATTAAGAAAACATTTAATCAGAGACACATATTCAGGGTAGTGTGGAGAAGCAAAAGTATCCTGGAACTCATCTTTAAACCAGGTTTTCATCCACTTTGACCCATTCCCCTCTCTCTCCAGTAATTGCTTCCACAAAAACAACACTTAAAAAAGCTTGCATCATCTTGTACAACTAAATGACTAAACATTACAAAATCTAATACAACGTGGAAAGTGACACTCTCAGTCTACATTTACATGAGGAAATTTAAAATCTTTAGGATCCCTAATCGAACAGTAATTCAGCCACTGCGATGGAACAGAAATGAAGAGCAGCAAGGGCAGGGATTAGGCACTTCTGTGATGTTAACTCCACTCACTGGGGTGCCACCAAATAGCTGCTTAGCTGCAGACAAAAGGTTCCCCATGTGAACTGAAGCATTCACGTTCTCTCCTTCCCACAGATTTTGGGATTTTTACCACTCAGCAGGACAGACAAGACAGATCCAACTAGTACATGCACTGTAATTAGGTATTTGCAGGAGATGTACTTGCACTAACTTTAATCTCATGGGCTCTTGGGTCACAGTAGCAGAAGAGATATATGGTATGGATTTAATTACGTATTTTAGAAGCTTGACAAGGACCTGTGGGCTGATGCAGTGCTTTCACTCTTAATACTACCCAAGCTACAAGAGGTATAGCTGATCACATTGCAATCACACCTCTTTTTGCAGCATAATCTTACCCTAAGCTGCACACTTTTCAGCACTCATCTACAACACAGGCCAAACATATGAAACTCCTGTTGAGCTCCTTAGGGAGTGATAAAAATCAAAGTCTCCATGCAAATGAATCAAAAGAGTATTTGTTTTGCTACTCTTTTCCTTAAGACAACTGACAATGGGGAAAAAGCATCTCAAAGCTATGGGAAAGCAGAATCCAGCCTTCCTTTTCTGTTAAATTCTCACCTGTCCTTGTGAAGAGTCTGGACTAGGATTTGCAGTTTGTATTGAGTCTGGCTGATGTAGGCAGCCACTTGTGTCTTCAGAGAAGCCTCTGAATTTGCTCAGTTGAGCTTTAATTAGAGAGTTCTGCCGTGTGAGCTCAGCTATCTGTCCCAGCAGATCACTGTTTTGAAATAACTCTTCAACTGTGCTGTTTTTTCTAGTGTCACCTGGGCAGGACAGACTGATTTTCTCGTGGGAACTCTCCCAGCCTTTATCTGCAGGAGGAATTGGTTGCCTTTGAGAGATGGGAGGGTTTGCCTCAGTTGTGCTCTGTGTTCTCAGGGAGGAAGGTGAGTTCCTTTCCTTGCATGATTCTCTTTCAGTGTTTTCAGGAGACTGAGAAATGGCTGTGAACACTACAAACAAAAATAAAGGAACAGTAAGGAAAGAGATGTGTGATCCTCATCAAGGAAACTAGCAGGGACTTTATTGCATCAGGCTAGTAATCATCGAGCAGGAACTTGAATCCTGCTGCAAGAACTTACCAGGTTTAATATTTCCTATTGCAAATAGTCTTACATTTACATGATTTAATTAGAGATTGACAGAGAAGTCAGAGAGAAGAAGATAAATTGTTCTGAATTTCCCAGCTGATAGATCAAACATTACTTCTTAGTTAGTCCTCCATTTTCCTTACCAAGTAAACTGTAAGTTTGTGTTTTACTTCTGATATTTACACTGAGTTGGTAACAAAAATTTTAGAATAAGAAAACAAAATAATACAAGACTTTTGGCATAATAACAAGCTAGTTATTGACTCAGCTCTTAAGAAAGGGGAAGCACTCTGGCCAACAAAAGTAGTTAGGTATTTTTTGTGGTCACCATCAGCAAACAGATAACACACCACACACACGACTGAACAAGTTACAGCACTGTCAGCTGCCACCTGCTAAGTCCAACTCAGAGTTTGTGATCAAAACCAGATTTTCTGTGCTTTACATACCAAACAGCCCATTCCTTCCCAAGCTTTAGCTTTTGCCTCTTGAGCAGAGCACAACATTTAAAAATGTACACATGAATCTTTTATGAACATTTTTGCATAAAGAAAGGTTCAAAGAGTTTAACATTTGTTGAACCATTCAGCATCCTTAACAGAGTAACAACACATTTCTCACGCAGCAGGATGACAGTGAAGTCCAGGAATGCTGTTTTATATCCTTGTGTCAAACGACAGGCAACATCTGACAGTTCTCAATGGGACTGAAGCCAGATGTTCTTCGCAGAAAGCTACCTCTAGTTCACCTCCTCCTGGTTTGTTATGTGCCTCCTTGCAGCACAGTGACCACTAAAAGCTTGAACAAGACATAAACTTTCAGTTGTGCCAACTCCTTAAATCGAGAGGACTTTTGGGTTAATTTTCTGGCTTGGAAAAGACTTCCAAAGTAACAGCTGAAAGGAGGGTGGAAAAAGGAGGAGGGAAGGCACAAAACCCCACTGCAGTGCCCTACTTTCTGTCGGCAGCCATCAAGGCAGCCACAGACATAGTCATCTGCCCCCCAACAACAGAGGGTTACAGCACATTCACTAAGACACGTGTGGTTACAACGCCAGTTGCAGGAGGAAACAGCCCATTTTGAGAGGTGCAAAGGGTCCTCCCTCCTGCTCACTTCAATAAATTTAATTGAGAAATACTTTTCCTAATCACTCCTGATGAACTTTCTTCCTCCCAGTAGCCAGAGTTGAGCTACAGATCTATAAAACTGAAGCCTACGGATACTGACACAGGACTGAGTTAATCTGATTATCTAGCACCACATAATTTCACCCAAAACTTCTTCAGCCACTTCCTGTGGATTGAATGAAATCCATGTTGCAACCTGCTCCCAAAGCTTTTAGGAAACTCTCTGCTGGAAAGATTAGCTCAAAGCAAGAGTACACAGACTACGGACAGCCTGGTTTGTCTGCAGCGTGGGCTGCAGTGGTCCCACCATGAAAGGTGATGGAGGCTGGATGACAACAGCAGCAGATGGAGATCTGAGATGATGTGCTGGACGTCACAGACAAATTGCTTCAGCAAATCATACAGGAGTGACAATTAAAACCAGTACAATATAAAAATGCCAATCTGGATTGCAAGTGACAGGATTACAGACAGGAGACGGAGAACTGCAGGTGACAGAGTCTGAAAGAAGGAACAACAGGCACTGCAGGAAAGGAAATACACATCTGGGTGCAGAAGAAGGATATTCCAGCCATAGTGCCAAGGTGTCCAGGCATACACATTAGAAGTTTTCATAGAAAATACATCTCCAAAGGTAACGTGAGCCTGGGAGATTGAAACAGCAACACACAACACAGACTCCCGAGTCTACTACAGCCAGCGAGATCTCACCGTTCTGGAGTGGAGACAACTCCTGACTGCTCTTCTGCCGGGGCGGTGACAACAGCACAGCGGGCTGGAAGATGTGAGCTGGCAAGCTCCTATCGGCTCCTGTGCCACCAGAGGCACTTTGCTTTGAGGGAAACTTGAAAGGAAGTTCCTCCTGTGGGAATTTCAGCATATTTTCCCCGTTGCCTGCATCAGTCCTGGGCTCAAAACAGCTCAAATCAGGTTTTTCTACAAAAAGAGACAAAAAAACCCACAAACCCCCAAAAACCCCCAACTAGTTTGAGTGCAATACAGAAATAATAAAAATAAAAATCTCAATGACAACTCTTATGTTCAGGTATCGGAAAAGACAGACTGGAATATGCTGCCCACATACTCCTAACTTTGAGAAAGATCCTCCTGCTCTGCTTCACTGTGCAGAACTACATTTCCAAAGGATCCTCCCCACGCTATCCGTCACTGTGATATTCCCCCCACCCCTCTCTCAGCCACTCATTCTCTCCAGAGAAGTCCTGTGTTCACTTACACATGGTTTCGGTGCTAAAAGTAGCTATCTCAAATTTTTCACACCCAGTCAGATGCCTTAAGGGTCCAAGAGATCTTCTGAAGGAGGAGGAGGAAGAAATATTTTTGTAACTTTAGGAAGCTTTCCTCTCAGGAAGATGACTTTTCCTGAGAAGAGAGACCTTCTCTTTCCTGAGAAGGAAAGACTTGGAAATTCTAGTCCTGGAACTATTGAATAGGAAAGTTTGGTCACTTTTTTTTTTTTTCTTTTGAGAGGTGCTTTTCTGATTGTTTGGAATTTATATTTTAGGGTGAGATATTTTGTTTGCTTTTACAAAGCCTGGATAAATAAGAAAAAGGGATCTAGTATGTGGCTCCTTGCCAAAGACCCCACAGAAACAGTCAGGAAGAAAGTTTTTGACCACAAAACTCCTACAAAACCAGTATTTAACTAAGGACACAAACAGCTCCAAGGAATCTTGGGATTCACGCAGAGTTACTGACCTTGAGAGCAAAACCAATGCATTTAAAGAACAAATCAGGGAAGATAGTTGGGAGAAAAGTCCGTGGTGAAAGAATGTTAAAAGTGCAAGGTGAATCACGTTTGGTTACTTTGTCCATCAATGCTACTGGCTTAAGTTGGCGTAGGATTCCCTTACGCATCCCCCAGCTGGTCCTTCCCCTCCGATACAGTCACAACCACCGAGACAGGCGCCGCCTCAGCAGCTGCTCTTCTGGCCAGCAGCGACATCCAGTGTCTTATGGAAGACACAATCTCATCCTGCCAGGCTGCCTCAGCAACGGAAAGGGGAGATCCTGATCCAGCTGGGGTTTATCTTTTCGCTCTTTTTAAAGATCCTCAGATTAAACCTGACTTTGTAAGCCATCTTAACGGGAGAAGGCTACTCCTCTCCTTTTTTCTGTTGTTTAATAACATATTATGTATCAATTAAAGCTCAAGCTCAACTTGGCTAAAAGGTTAATCTTGAAGTTCTGATCCAGACAAAAGGATGCCAATGGGGATGGAATATAACCTATAATATTGTTTAAAAATAATCTGCAGCAAAGTGCTTGTGCTCACAGCAGAACGCATGGCACAGGAATTTCCAGGAGCAAGATTCATGCTCATGCAAGAAGTATTCATTCAAGCAGACATCTGTTAAGTACCACATTTTCCACTACAGGGATAAACTAGCCACAGGTCCCATTTCATCCTTCACACACGCATGCACACACCTTGGCCGTTCGCTGGACCCTTGCTTGCAATTCCAAAATGGTTTGGACTTTGCTCTCTTCTAGGTTCTACCAAAGGAAGGCCTTTAAATGCTTGTGTGAGAGAGATCAGCTGCTCGTCTGTCACCATCATGTATTGCTGAAGCGTCTTCTACAGGAAGAAGGAAAAAAGAGAGATATAGAAATTTGTATTCTAGCAACATGAATTAGAAAATTATATACTACAAGAAGTCCTGAGAAGAAATTTGGTCTCTTAATACCACTGCATGAAGCTGTAGGGTTTCAGTGACGTATTAAATACTAGTGTCTCCATGTTTCTCAATTATTTCCTCTCCTGACTCAAATAAATTATTTGTTTTTCCTTTTCCTAACTCATGACCCCACTTCCTCTCCAACATTGCTTTGTTGCTTCATTCCCAAGTGTAACCATTCAACAAACCTACCTTCACTGCAAATGGAAAAAATAAAATGTAGTATTACACCGAGTCTACTCCGTTGCTCCAGTAGAGTTAACAGTATAGAAGTGTGGAGGAAGATGCTTCAACTTTTAGACTGATAAAATAAAGCTCAGTTTCACGGAACTAGCATTTTCTCAGGCTTTAATATTAAACATCACAAATGAAGATAAAATAATGATTTTCCAAACACTCCTCCCCCCACTTCACACCTGCTATTACAATTCTCAGGCTTCTCATTCAATTTTACAATTTTCTTTCTGTTTTTTTGTTAAAATCTCTTGAACATGAGACAATGCATCTCAGCCCATATTTGCAACACAACTCAGTATTCCAACAAGTCGTGCTGATCGGTAAGGAGCAAGAGGGGCTCAGTACCTGCATAGTATTGTTTTCTTCCCTCACTAGAAGTATTTCTGCAGTCAGAGCGTCAATCAATTCTCTGTGTTCATTCAACATCTCTTCATGCTGCTGCCTCATTACCTCTTTCTCACGCAGCTGCATTTCACTCTAAAGAGGGAGAAAAAGTTCAAAGTCTACTAGGAACCAAGTTAGGTTTATCCATTTCCCTTTAAGAATTTCGTTATCGCTTGGCAAGCATTTCAGAGGTTTCTTCTTCCCCTTTTCTCCAGCCTCTTCTATATTCACTACCTCCTTCTTCTTGCAGGAGTTGATTTTTTAATCACTTATTAATACAACTTTCAGGAAAGATTCAGTAATTCAAGTTTCTCTTCCTACTTTTTATATATAATTTTGCAAAAAAAACTCAGCATCATCGTAATTTTTCTGCATTCAGCTTTTCTGCAGCAAACCTGGAAAATATTTTTTTCTCCCCAGACGAGGAAGGAAATCTTTCTAGAAGCTTCAAAACCTCCTGAAAACCAATTTTTTACAGGAAATAAGAGCCTTTTTAAATAACTGCTGCAAATTCATTTTCTTGAAAGGCACTGCTAGCTGTAATCGAGGCATTGGAACTTCGCTAACGCTCCTGGCGAGGCAAGGCAGGAGGTGCACACAAGCACTTGACTTATTCTTAGCATCACAGAGATCAGGTTTTAGGAAATACTCAAACAAGCTGTGCTTCTTCCCAGTGAATTTTTAAATTCTAATTGTAATTAAAGCTCCACAAAAAGAGGAAAAGTCAGTGAAGATTATGGATACACACTGTCTCTCTCAAGCAACTCTGAATGGGACCAGCCACGCACTGTAGCTTGAGTGACCTCTGCGTATTTCTACTCATGAACTTAGGTAGTAAATCTAAAAAGTTGCAAACGGTTCCACAAGCAACAATCAACTCCTGGAAGGAAGGAATGGTAACATCTATTAAAGTAGAAACAACATCATAGAGGCACTCGGTAAAAACTGGGAATAAAGTAAGAGTCAGCATGTATCCTTCAAAATAAGCAGTCTCTAAACCACCCAGCCTCCTTGGCCTTCTATCTGAGTAGGATAAAAGCTCTTAAGATACACTGAATGTTACATTCATAAGGAGAAAGTAGCAACTAAGGAAGAAGAAAAAGACAAAGAACATCTGGAGTAGTTTTGGGGGAAGCCTGAGTGTCACGAATAACCCATTTCTGTGGAACACAAATTACAGGCAACCTAAATAGGGTTAAAACTGCAATTATATTTATAATATTAATTTGACGCTATTATCTTGATGCATCCCTAATAAAGGGAAAACATTCTCTTGGAAGTCCAGAAGATCCTTCTCTGTAACTGCAAAAGAACCGAATTTAATACCCTGCTGTTGTGTTACAACTTTAACAGAGAACAAGCACTCTTAACTTCTTTTAAAACATAAAATCTCCTCAGCCAAAGTCCATCTTCTGATGGTAGTGGCTTTTCACTCTTGAATTGATTATTTACCATTTGTTTCTGAGACAGATCTTAAAGTAACTTCTTTCATATAAATTAAATACAGAGTAATACAAGGAATAAATTGTTATATATCTAGCCAAAAAAAACCCAAAACCCCTCAAATTTTAAAATAAGGTGCTTTTTTTTTTTCCCAATGATTATACACTGTGAAAAGGAACCAAAATAGGACAGTTCCACATTCATTAGGAACCTATTGCCTTTGCTATGAAATGAAGCATTGGGATTGAGATAACATACTCCTATGCATCTATTAAGAGTGCAGGAACCGTCATAATCTGGTTCCAAATTTCACACAGGCCCAGTGAAACTGTGAGCCACTGCTGCATCTTGAATAGCTCTGGGTTAGAGAGGAAATCAAACCGGGGATTTTTTCTTTCTATTTTTGAAAAAAGAAGTTCTACACGGCTTACAGGCAGCCTTCTTCCACCGATCCCCAGCTGTGCTCTGCTGCAGTGAGCACGTCAGGTCGTTCTTGCTTAAGGTGACCTTGCTGATACGGATAGAAAGGCACCCTTCAAAGAAAACTGAGGATTTGGGTCCACTGCTCTAATGAAAATAGTATCGCCTTCGGAGGCAAAGGAAGAAAATGAATTTGTAAACCAGGCTGTAGTTAATACCCTGCTACAAATCTGAACATATTTAAATAACAAATTTAAAATTATTTCAATTGGTATTTTATGCTAATAGTCACCGGGAGACTTTCATTGCAGTCACCTCCTCCCTCTTCACGAGGGACACCTGTTTCTAGCAAACTAAAATTTTTAACTCCTGATTGCAGGCAATCCAAATAATTAGGAATGATAATTAGACTTCAAAGTAACCTCACCTGTCTGAGGTAGCGCATCAAACGGCAGAGAGCTTTCACCAGTGACAAGGTAAACCCGGTGAGGCCTTCGCTTCTCTCGGCTTTTTGAACCTCACGACCTGTACATCGCTCATATTCCTCTAATTCATGCTCCACGTCATGTATCATGCGGTTGAGAACATCTAGGCTGGATTTGTTGTCCCTCCGAAGGTCAATGGGGATTGAATTAGCTGGAGAATCTTCTCTCCTCTCTCTTGCAGAGTTCTGTGCAGTTTGTTTTCTTTTCACTGAGGAGGGGGGAAGCATCACTGGAATTTCAACTTGCATAGAAAGCTTTGCAGTACCAATGAAATTATATCGTTTATTGAAGTAAATCAAAGGAGAGACCCTCTCTTGCCCTGAGCTGAAACTGACCATCAAAGAACTTCCCCAGCCATTCCAATTATTTCAGATCATCAAAAACCACAATTTCTGCCACCACGTTAGTACCTCTCGAGTACCTCTCAGAGCTTTTATCTTAGGAACCTTTTTATACTTTCCTCCTTCACAGTTAAAAGCACAGAACCAGTACCAGTGAACAGCCCGTGAAGAACACCAATTGCTTTCAGGTCTCACGTTTAGCGAGTAACTCTTCTACAACAATCTGTTCATGTTACAGTTTGCATCTGATGTCAGTCCCCACATACAACGTTTGTGCAGAATACGGGGACTGAAAAGCATTGCAAGTCTGTGCAGCACAGAACGGACAGCTTTATCAGAAACAGAAACACCCTGCATGGCAAACGACCCACGGCTGGCAAGGTAACGGTCGCATCCAAGGGTTCCCTGACTGCCCTGGAGTCTGCTTCGCCCAGGAACGTGCACGACACAGAGGAACACACCACACAAGAGCCTGTGGAATGTCCATCCTTAGAGATGCTCAAGACTCGGCCAGACAAGGCCCCCCCTAATCAAACCTGGGAGTCAGCCCTGCACCTTCCAAAGATCCCTTTCAACCTGTGTTTTCTTATGATATTAAGGACTTTGGTCAAAAGAAGGCATGTTATTTTTAAAAGTACTAAACTTTTTGTTGCAATTTGCTTTTGTTTCCTTGACTTCGGGTTCAACACTTGCTGCACAGTGTAAGGGGAGTCCACAGTCTCTTCTTTGTCTTCGTTCTGAAGTCTTGAATGAATTCTCTTGACTAAACTGGTAGCATTGAGGGCTGATTTAAACACAAAACACAATAAAAAATACACACATGAAATATTTCAGGTATGTTCTTAATAGTAATATGTTATAAAGTAATTTTACTAGAAGACCTGGGTTTTTAGTCTGGAAATTAATCTGAGCCAAATCAGCATTATCTCTGCCTCTCACCCCCACCCAGAAAAGGAATTCCAGAGTGGATCCTGTGAACAGCTCAGCAACCTTTGAGAGGCTGTGATTTGGCAAGTCCAACCTGACTGATCCAATGATGGAGAAAGAGTCGTCGGAGTCAAAGGCACATTTGATTCCTGTGATAAGGTAGTTTTTCTCGCATCCTTTTCAGTCCACAGCTGAGAATTCACCAAGGAATTTTCTTCTCTCAACAACCCAAGTAGCCTGCATTCAAAACAAGCAGAACAGTGAATTGTAACGGGATAATAGCATGCTTCTAGATTACCTGTAGAGTCCAGAAAGAGCTTTTTAAAATATCTGTAACTGCTCACAGTTTGAATGTTACAACAAGGTGTTTTCCCTAGAATTCTGAGGTCAGGAAAACAGAAAAAAAAGTAACTTAACTATATTCATGCAACACCCTTTTAACTCAGTCTATTTCCAGTGTTAAGAATGTGGGAATTCGAATGGATGGATACATTTGTACTGACCTGTCAGAATTGATGCTGGATTTGAAATTCAGAGAGTCATGGTGTCCATCTTCTGAATGACAGATTGATAATGCTTCCTCTCCCACTTCATTAAGAGACTTTTAGGAGACAACAAAGAAAACAAAAGGGACTTCAGAACAATTTCAATTTGTTTTTAGGAAGAAGTTAGAGATCAATTTTCTGAAATTTTTTCAAAAAAATTGAAACATCTGTTTCAGTCTCTATCTAAAAACAAACAATCAAAAAAACAACACAAAAAAACCACACACATCCCTCTATGGGAAGAGTTTTGGGGGACTTTAGTACCTAAGAAATACTGATTGTCTCTGAAAATAACACAGCAAGTGATTAATTCAATATCGAATATTTTATCTGGAGGATTCATATTAAATAAGAAAGACCACACACACTGTAGCATAACAAAGCTTTGAAGACTATACCAAAACAAATACAGAGACATAGCAGTCAGAAGGTGGAAAAAGACACATAACTATAGCGTTTCTAAAATTTCAGCCATTTGACATTACAAGCTAAACAACCTTGTAATGAGATCTGCAAAATTACATTTATATTCTGTGTGCAAAATGCAACCAGAACAAAATACAATCCTACATACCACGTTCATAGCAAAACTTGAGCAATCAAATTTGGAATTAGGGTTCCTCAAACTACCAGGTTTCTGTGCTTCTGGCTAGGCTTCACCAGATAGCCTTTAACTGTGATTTTCGTAGGCACATAAGGAAAAGAAAGTCTCACAGAAGCTCAGCAGACAACTATCACTACACGTGCCTTTTAAAAATTTAAGCCTATCCTGCAGCGTGCATCCAGTGACACAGCTTATAAAGGCACTACAGTTAACTCTTCATATTAAAACAAATCAAAAACACAAAAACCAAATACCACATCAAAATATATGACAGAGCAGTACTGCAACTCAAATTGCAGATATCTGTGCAAGATAGTAGGAAACAGGATTAGAGAACCGTAAGAATGTGACACCATCATTTTCACTCCCACATCCCTTTTGGTCTTCACCAGTGAGCTGCTTTCCAGGAGCGTTATACGCCTGTTCGCAAAGCACAGTGAGCATTCCTGGTACAACTCATGTTATCTAAATAATTGTAAAAGAATGTGAAGTATTAAAAGCTAAACTTGTAGGACTAACCAAGGCTGTGGAGCTAACTGGGGTACAGGTACAAGTGTGTTATCAGAAATAAATTGGAGCCTGACTGTCCCCATATATGCAGACATCAGAAAATCAGAGGCATATTTCAATACGCAGCAACTAGTTAAGTGACACGAGTTGTTTTCTTAGTCTGCAATTATTTTGTTCTCTTGCTGATAATTCCAGAATTTAAAAGGGAGAGCATGCTAATATGAGAGAGCTTCTATGAGACATAAGATGTTTCTTTCTCATATTCAAAGGTTAAGAAATCAAAAAACCATGATTCTCAATCTCCCAAAACAAACTCACTTCCATTTAACATCATTTTCTATGTATGTTATCAACACGTACACAATACACAAAAGACAGATCTAGGTCTGCTTGGAAACTCGACCTTTGAATATTCTTATTCTGCGCAAACAAAAAAGCCACAGGACACGCATGGAACAGAACAAACACTACCTGGGAATCCATGACAGATTCACTAAGGCTGGGAAGCCGAGTGGGAGGATCACATTTTTGTACAATGAGTCCTTGAGGTGATTCTAGGTCACAGTTAGGAGCCATTGTTACATTGGGGACACCTAGAGGAACAGACAAAACGGGAGAGCACAGAGGACTCGGTCTATAGCATGTCGCAGCACTTTGTCCCAAAAAGCACATTCCCGTACTTTGCACAAAAAGGGTCACAGGGATGTACGTCGCTTTACAACTGCCACAGGCCAACCACAGAGCCATCTTAATACCTTCGGCGTATTGTCCTTCTCACCCATACAAATACACTTGTGCAGAAGAGGCATACGGGATAGAACGGGCATTATAAGCAAAAGAGAACGGCAGCCTGCAGAGAAAAGAACCTAGGCTTAAGATTCCACACGCAAACAGCCAGTCCTGCCTTCCAGCAGCGCACGGGCCCATAGATCAGGACAAGAAAAGGAAAAGCCGTGTTCACGAGGAGCAATGAGAACCAGCACGACACTGGCTTGGACTGGTGCTGTGTATAAGCCAGCAGGCTGGCTGTGGAAACGGCAAGTGTGAGATGTTCCACAGCAAGTGACGGGAAATTCCACAACGGGCCGATACTGTAGAACAACCAGCCATGGCTCGCTCTCCCCTGCCACAGAAGGTGGCATCCTCATCTGTGTTTCACCCAACGTGAACAGGATCAATGGTACTACGTTAGATGATGAGATGAAAACGGTTAAAAAGAATTCTTCGCAAAGCGAGGCTATCTATGAAAAGCAGGGAGATAATTTTAAATGTACTAAAATTATACTAGCACGTATAAATGAGATGGCCTACCTGTCCTCGTGCGAGGAGCATCCCCAAGCAAGTCTTTTGCCGCAGCCATAACCTGATCAGATCGTTCCAATGCATCTTGCAAATGGTATTGATCAGACAGAATCTGAAAGCATAGCGTATAACGAAATACTTCATACTGGGCAGACCGATTTTTCCGTTGTTTTTTTGGTATTGTTCTTCTAAACAGTTAGCAAGGGAAGAGCCAAGATAAATTAGCTCGGGTAATTAAACAGGACTAATCCTAAAACCTCTCCACTATGATAACCCACCTACTCTTCAGTGAAACACACTAACGTTATTTTAAAAATAAGTCATTATAGGACCAATGTGTGTGGTACCTACACATTCACAACTCACAGTTACAGAGACAAATTCACATTATTTTTTCATTCAGACTTTCAGGCAGACAAATCCCCGAAAGAATAAAATTTTACTCATGCTCATCCATTTTATAACTTTGGCTTTCTTCAACTCACATGAAAAAAATTCACTACTAGCAGTATCTTCCTAGTTTTTGTCTCCGAGTCTTCTGCAGTTGGGTAGGATTCAAGGGGCTTAGGAAGCTACAATCTCACAGCAGTAACTAAGGAATAAAGATCAGCCAGGTAACAGGGACAAGGAGACAACCCACAGTGGTTGTACTGTACCGAGAGACACAGACGGAAGAGTCTCCCCAGTTACCCTGAACAACAGAACTTCGCAAGTAACAAGATTTAAGCCAGAGACAGGTGAAAATGGTGACTCTCCTCCCTCTACATTTTTTTTTTCTCTATACACAACAAGATGCCACTGTTTCAAATAGCAACAGCCAGGTGGGTTTCGTCTTGCCTGACATCATCTCCTTTTGTCTTCCTATCTGGTAGCATTTTTTCTCTGATTCAGAAGTAGACACAGTTTATGTTGAATAAAGTCATTTCTTAAACTTGAAAGGGAAAGCCACTCAAAATGAATTGAAATTTCTGAGTCGTCATTAGAAATGGCAACAAATATGGAAGACTTTCCTGACCATGAGTTTCACATCTGGAAAATAACAGTCACCTAATAGGTGGTCCAGCCAAATCTTAGAGTGGGTAGTCTGATCTACCTTTGTGAAACATAATTTATTTCTGCATGGAAGTCTTCCTGAAACCAGCCTGCTATTACATCAGGGAAATTTGCATAAAAGTCCTCAACTTTTCTGAACACTCCGCTAAAACGCACTTGGCAGAAAAGTATGAAAGCAACAAAGGTCAAAATTAGAGTTCAAGGCTTGATTAGCACGATATCCTTCAGGTAAAAATTCTACTGTGACTGCAGAGCAACAGGTGTCAAATAGGAAACTAGAAGGTGATCTTCAATTCTAAGCACTTTCATTTGTTTCTGTCTATGCTTGAACGTTCCCAGAGATCAGAAAAAGACTTCTGCAAATTCACAAAAGAGACGTCTGTGATGGTTAATTCACTGCACATTCACAGGACTACTAGATCATGTTTAACTGCTAGGTGAATGTTGCTCATCATCATTTTTTACCAACAATTCTCAGTTTGTCCAAGTGCTGATGAGGTCTGAAAGCCAATCACTACGTTTTGAGATTAGCTTTCACAACATATGGCAAGGAATGTTTCACCTGCCATGGGAAACAAAAGGATGTCTTCCACTGAAATCCCTTTTCAGACAGTGACAGCTACTGTCTCTGGTACTTAAGTGTCCTGGTTTCGGCTGGAACTGAGTTAGTTTTATTTCCAGTAGCTGGAAGGGTGCTGTATGGCATCTGATCATTATTAGCCAGCTGGACTGAGTTGAATATAATGAACTAATTAACTAATCAACTCAAGGTACTGATCCTGCATACAAGAGACAGGCCTTTTCCTCCTGGCTGCGGAAGATGCAACAGTGTCCTTGGTGCCGCAGCCCAGGCTGGTGAGCAACAGTGCTGTGTTTTGGATTTAGCATGGGAGTTATTGTAAGAAGAATGTTGATAACACACTGATGTTCACAGCTGGTGCTGAGACACCAAGGACTTCTCAGCTTTCCATGTTGTGCCAGTGTGCAGGAGCACAACAGGCTGGGGGGGAGCATGGCCGGGACAAAGGGCCCACAACTCCTAGTTTAGCATTTGAGCTCAGATTTAGGCTTAATTTGACCAATGGAATACTCCATATCATGCAATGTCATGCCCAGTACACAGATGAGGGATGGCTGGGAAGTTAGAACCTGAGAATCTGAGAATCCATCTCTTGCTTGCTCTCTTTGGATCTCTCTTTTCGGGCCTCTTGCTCCTCCAGGATTGCAGTTTCAAGACTTCTCTGTTTTCAGGCTTGCTTGCTGGGACAGGCTGGCCGTTGGACACTGAGTGGTGAGCAATTACACTGTGCACCACTTGTTTGTATATATAATTACAATCTTATATGTTATCACACACTATTATTGCTTTTATTATTTTTTATCATTATTACTTTAAATTGTATTTCAATTTATTAAATTGTTCTTATCTCAACCCATAGGTCTCCTCCCTTTTCTCCTTTAATTCTCTTCCCCGTTCCCGGGGGCTGGAGGAGGGTAAGTGAGCGTCTGTGTGGTGTTTAGCTGCTGGCTGGGTTAAACCACGACACTAAGCTTAGGTTTGCTGCTACAGTTCAATACACAAAGCAAATTAAGTAATATTAATATTTTCAGTCAGAGTGCTTCACAATTCCTAGAGAATAAGCATTTTGATTCCCAGATGACGAGCTTGTCTGCTAGCAGCCATAGCTCCTCAACCTTTGTTGTGAAAATTTTCCTTCCAGACAAGCTCTTCCTTACCAATTTCTTGCCTCACCCTTTCTGCCCCTATGACTCTGCATTCTGTCTGTTTAAACAAGCAATAGCAGATAAGGATGTCCCTCTCAGGAAGAGAAACGTTCACATTTCCATCAAAGAAAAATACTAGACAGGAGAAGAAAAAGGCAAGAGAGCAATAAGAACACAAAAAATACATATCCTCTTCACAACACACAGTTTAACTCTGCAAACGGTTCCTGTTCAGACACAGAGAGGCTTGCAGAACTACAGAGGGCACAGCCAGCAACAAGGATTAAATCAGCAATTCCATAATCAGTTAGTGCATCACACAGCCCATTCCAACCAACGCACGCACGCAGCATGCAGAGGAGGGAGAGTGCACACACACACGAAGTCAAATTATCCAACAAGAGGAGCAAATGCCGACCTACGTGCAAGAGCAGCTTTCTGCTACTGCTGCAAATCACCTGCAGCATGCTGGAAGTGCAGGTTTAGCTCTCACCTCACGCATCAGAGTCAATTTTCTTTTCTCCAAGGAATCAGCGGCCAGTTGTTTTTGCTTCTTCCATTTCTTTTTCAGTGCTTTCTCTCGCAGTTCCAGATGTGCCAGTGCTTTGTTTTTTGATTTGTGTATTTCATGGCGACGCAGCTACGAGAGCATGAAAGAAACCATTTCAAAATCATCAAGGGACAATCTAAAGCGAGATTTGCAGAGTAATGCTAACAAGCTCCTCTTGATTTTACCATTCACGCACTGAATGCTATTTGTGTTAACTTCATGGTAGTACCAATGACAGCCTCACAAACATCCAGCAGTCTAAAATGCCACCAGTACCAGCCAAATTTAAGGTGGCTCCAACTGTAAATGGGGAAAGTCTCACAGTTTCCATCTGCCCTACATCACTGACTCAGTAAGTTCTCTCAGCTGTAAAGGGAGGAAAAAAACAAGCGCTATCATCTATCATAGGCATAAAAAGACATCATGCATCTTCCTGATTTAATACTAAGGTCAATCATCGGAGATAACTCTCTTCTAACAATTTTGTATATATATACATACACACATGTATATATATTCAGTTTAAATACAAGTTAAATGTGTGAGGTGCTCGCTAAAGTGTCTGGAAGCAATCAAGCCAACTGCTATTGTAGCCATCTGTCCTGATGAACTTGTCAAAATCTATAAGCAACAACAGTTCCCAGGAAAATGAAATGGAAGCCACATATTTTGTAATGGACGGGTCACTCAGGATAAAGAAATTATGTTAATTGTTTAAATGAAAATTGAGTATCCTTAGAGAGACTCCTAAAATAAAGCATGTCTTTCAGCCCTTCCAGCAGAGATAAGACTCAAATTCAACTACTCCACTGAGTTTTCATGCATTTTTGCTTTTATGGTATATACTTTATTGTAATAAGAACCACGGCTACTGCTTCCTGATGGAAACAGAAAACTGGAAAACACCAACTGCCAGAGCCAGGGATGCACACAATAACCCCAGGCCTAGCACCGAAGAGCCCGCCCTTTCGGAAGCTCACAAAGGGAGGTTCCACACCGGCAGGAAACGCCCCACGAGCCCGGTAAACGCTCGTGCCAGACAACCAGCGGCGTCTCGCCGCAGAGGAGCGGCGGCGGCGGCGGCGAGCGGCTTACCAGGTCCTCCGGAGTGGCCCGGTGGGCGGTCAGATCATGGACGGTGCTCTGCGAACAGGAACCAGAGAACACGCTAAAAGCCCGAACCGAGGATGAACTGCATTTTTGTCAAGTTTCATGGAAAAAAAAACCCCACCAAAACTCTAAATTACAATATAATTAG